TACAGTCTGTTAATTAATTATAGCCACACTTTATAGTTTTCATTAAATTAAAAAAAATAAAGAATTTTTAAATGTAATTTAAAGTAACTTATTGTTAGTATTGAACAATTGCAAATAATTATTATAGCATGTCCAAAAGTATATATCATCAACATTTTACTGGTTTTCAGAATTGTTAGGAATTTAAGAGAAATGTAAATAATTTCATTCATAAATGCAAATTATTTTACACTGATTTTTGAAAATTTCAAAATTAATCATTATATTAATAATTTAAGAACAAAAATATATTTTTTGGTTTCCCAAAAGTATAGATAATAAAATTGCAAAATTTGAAGCATAAGAAACTTATAATTATAAAAATAAATGACATCACATAACACTTCTACTTTGTTGTCAAGTAGTAATTTAAATACTGACTCAAAACTTTCCAAAATTTCACATGGAAAAGAGTTTAGTAGGGAAGAAATTGCATGAATATGGAAATTAAAATCAGAAGGCTGTAATGTCAAGGAAATTGCAGTTTTAACAGATCTACTCCTGGAATTTATAAAATTTTGGAAAAATTTTATTTGGACCATATTTAGCTTCTGTATGTATTAATTTACCTTTAAAATATAAAAATTCAGTATGGTTATATTTAATTGACACAAAAAGATCAAGAATTTACAAAATTTGTGATGATGATAAAAGTTGTTAAATTCTGTTTTACAGTATAAATAAGTTATGCTTAAAGTTTCATTTAAAAATTCTTTATAGTCTTTTTTAATTTAAAAAATATATACATTTTGATAATTTTAACCACAATTCATATTATTAACATGAATCTCAATTAATGATATAGATCTGTACTTTACCTGAACAGATTTCATGATTCGATAACAAGTAGAGACAGCACAATATTTTTTTCTCCATCGTCAATGGACATCGTCCTCTTGAATTTTGTTTGTTATTAAGTAAGGGTGCTAATTTTAATATTAAAATGTCCACAGTTGTTCTATTCAATCGAAAATGTTCCTGAAAATCCTTCGATCAGTATCTTGGCACGGTGTACTCAATATACCCTTTCACTTTCTCGACTGACTTGCTGTTTTTGCCACTAGATGCATTCACCTCAGCTTCAACTGCAGACATTGCACATTCTAACAACAAATCATCGTCTTCAGACTCTGAATCTAGCGACTGCAGTTGTGAATAATAGCTACAGCCACTAACACTAATCCGGAAGCTGCCATTACTGTGTATACTTTTTCGAGCGTGCTAGTATGACGTCAGGCTGCGCTAGGTGTCAGCTCAGAAAGCTTGGAAGCTAGCAAAAAGTAAGCACACCCAATGAAAGGTAAGAAAATGCAAAATTGGATTCTGCTCTGGTGTTAAGCTGTGGTGTGAATGCATTTTTTCAAGAGTGGAGTTGACTTACCAGACATCTAAATAATGTGGAATAGAAAAAGTATGTCAATTTATCCAGTGGTGACGAGTTAAACGGTGTCGAGTAAACCAGTTTTTTAACGTTGTATGTAAGTTGGCCAGAACCACAGAAAACTGACTACTTAACTGATGGTGTCTAGTTACACCTACGATGACTTATATCTGCTAAGGAACAGATGCAGATATGATAAACAATGACTGGTTGGAGAATTTGAATTTTACTTTAATATAGAAAAATCAAATTTGTGTATTAAAGTGTTCAAAAGAACTCAAAATTTGAAAGTTTGTAGTTGTGGCTGTTACTTTTTGTGTTTGTTTGATTTCACTGAAGAAGGAGAGACTAACTGCCAAAAACATTTCAGAAATTAAATGTATTTAAATTCCTTGAATGGAATTCAATATATATTTCATAAAATTGGTATTTTTCAAAAATTCATCTCATTGACTTTCATATTTTTCTTCACAAGAAAAGTTCCAATTTTCATTATTTAAATTACCTCCTTCCATCTATAAGTCATTTTCATATTGTAAGGTTATCAACAGAATATCTTTCCTTGCTGATAACTTTACTATATATCAGAGCTTTGGAACCTGAGCCAGTCAGAGCTTCCAGTTTTTGTTGGCGTTATATACTCTTTAAAAAATTCTTGACTCCAGCTCCAAAACTATTTTCTTTTTGGGGGATAGGTGTTAATTTCTTTAGCAACTCACCAGAAAGTTTTGAGTTTTACATTTAGGAAATATTTTTAAAATTTTGTGAATCTAACTAAAAGTTCTCTAACAACTTACATTTCTAACATACAACCAAGAATATATTCTTGACATATCCTATTTATTTTTTCAGAAAATTTTATTTTAAATTAACTGTAATCAATAACACCATAAAACGGATAATTTTCTAGAACTTTCAAATAATAATTAAAGTGTTATATTAATTTTTTTTTTACATGTTATAACCTCTCTAATATAAGCTGGCAATTGTAAAAGTGAACTGAACTATTCTTCATTCAGGTAGAGGGGGTAATTGAAGTAAATTAATGGTGAATAATAGTTATTAGTTAATTGCTTATTGGTATCTCATTCCCTTTTCTATGGTTTCCTCTTCTTTAATTATTGTTTTATATAACTGAAAATAATAGTAAAATTACATATTGCTATATATAATCAAAAAAATCTATACTTCACTCTAAAGCCTTAAATTATTTTTCAGTAACAGTTAATTTGGAACAATTTTTTCAACTAACATTTTTGATCTTCAATTGGAGATCTTCTTTAAGTCTTGATTCTATATTCGTTGATGGAATGCTTAAATCAAGCAGTGATGTTTTTTGAAAAATTTTAAATAATTTTTAAACGCAAGAGATTCTCAGGATATATAAAATAGGAATAAAAGTAATGATAAATATATAAAATTACAAAGTATACAATTAAAATCAACATTTAAAGACTGTATAACAAAACAGAACTTTTTGTTATATTGACCCTAAGTTTTGTTACGTCATATTTGATCATATAGTCATATATGATAGTTAAAATTTATCCAATGTCCCTTTTTCAGATTTAAAAATTTTGATGCCTCTAGTATCTTGATGGAGTCAGCATGTTTTGATACTTTGATGATGATGGCCTTTTCAAGGAAGACTTGCAACTCATTATCTGTTGCTTATGTGACTAGGGCAGTGTTTAGTTTCTTTTTGTTGATATTGTGTTTGTGTTCAGCTAATCTTATTTTGAGTGATATTGTGGGTGGAACCAATATATTCAAGTTCATAGCCAAATCTGTCATCTTTCAAAGGAACTTTTTATACTCCCAGTACATTAATTAAGATTATTAGTCTTATCTTTTCCATTCTTAAGGATGTTAAAGATGATAGCATTGTGTCTGAAAGTTAGTCAACCCCCCTATAACACTGTTGATAATTCCATTTTATATGAATTTCATGTTGTATGACTCACTTAGATTTTACAAATACGTGAGCCATTCACAGCCTGGCACATGTATTTGTAAAATCTAAGTGACTCATACAATATGGAATTCATATAAACCAGAATTATCAACAGTGTTATGGGGGGGTCGACTGTAATTTTGTTTCTTTTAAGTTTGCTATTTCTTTATAGCAAACCTAACTGAAAAGTTCATGGTTTTGTTATATGGTCTTTAAATGTTGATTTTAATTGCATGCTTTGTGATTTTATATATTTATCGTCACTTTTATTTCTGTTTTACGAGGGTTTTTTTTTTCAACCTCCACTAATGCATGAAAAATATTGGAAGCATGTGAGACAGAGACAGGATGCACAACTAGTGAGTAGTATATTCCCTCACCACTTAGCATTGCACCAAGCTGTTTTAGACATTTGCTACTCTGCAGAAAACATGTAAACATGATGCTGCCAATCCAGTCTCCTGCCAACTGTGAAGTACAAGCAGTAATTCAATTTCTACAGGCCAAAGGGCTGAATGGAGATGAAATTCATTGAAGGATGTCTAATGTGTATGGTGAGAACCTTATGAGCTATGGATGTGTGTGTGAATGGTGAGGAAATTCAAACAAGGACGACAAGTTCATGATGAGGGCGGTCAAGAGAGGAAGTGTGTGATGACCGACAATTTGGTGGACAAAGAAGATCAATTGGTACGAGAAGGGAATCGGTTCACAATTTCTGAGCCCAGTGAAGAGTTTCCTCAAATTTCAAGGTTCACACTGTATACTGCTGACTGACAGTGTTAAAGGTTGGCTGAATGGCCTAGCAACAATGTTCTTCAACATGGGTATACAAAAGCTGGTGTCACAGTATGATGTCTGCCAACAAGGCAATTATGTGGAAAAATAGGTGAAGACTGTAACTACCTTCTACAAATAGAGTGGTTTTGTTCTTCGTTCTTGTTTTTTTATTCTAGGTTGGTGGAGGTTAAAAAAAAAAACCCTCATATATATCCCGAGAATCATTTAAAATTTTTCAAAAAACATCACTGTTTAATTTAAGCATTCCGTCAACAAATATAGAATCAAGACCTAAAGAAGATCTTCAACTTAAGATTGAAAACATTAGTAATATTCGAGTGAAGTATTTTACTATATCATTCCCATCCTATAAGTGGTGTTTTATCTCAAAAGATCTATTTCTAATGTTTACATAAAATGATAGAAATAGATTATAAATAAATTAACAAAAGTAAATGGCTTGAATAATGTATTTCTATCTCAAACAATTGTACTTAAAAATTAAATGTTTGACTGGAGGTCATATAATTTATATGGAGTGGAACAAAAGTCAGAGCCATGATCAGAACCTTTGCTGAAAAGCCCTACACATTTTGAAGCTTGAATCTTTACTTATACTCTACTTTCAAAAGAACTAGTATGGTATAGTGTATATTTATTTATTACATGCTCCAATAAAGCAGAAAGTTTTGTTCACATGAAAACTTTAAATTTTATTTAAATGTCAAGTGTTTTAATGTGACTAAAGGAATTTAATAATCATTGTTATTCTTCAAAAATGTAATATTTCTTTAATCTCAAAACATAGATTTTATGTTAAATATAATTGCATAGAAAAGATCTTACCTTCTTTTATGCACTTTTGAACGAAAATGCTTGGTAAGTGTTTCATTGTCAATAAAATATCTCCTAAAATATTAAATCATAAATGAGTTTAAATTATATTACAGAAATATAAGTAACACTAATTAAAAACAGAATAAAGTATAGTAAATATATATAATTATTTAACAAACTGATTTAAGACTATTAGGTTAGCAACATTCACTAATTAGATTAAGAATAAAAAAACTGCTTTCAATATTATTTTAGATATACTACAATTCTGAAATTTTGAAACTATCAAAAATTAGATATAAGGTCAAGATTTGTAACCTTATAGTGTAAGTTATAAGCAATTGCATGTTTTAACTCAAATAGTGTTGCCACCTTTTCAAAAATGCTGACCCGGAAAGCAGGTCAAGTTTGTTCGAACTGAAGTTCCTGATGCATGCGCAATGTCATTTTACAATGCAAAGAATAACGTGCATGCCGGTTCTAAGTCAGTTACAGTTAGGGACTAGGGACTTGTGTAGGAGCAACGTAAGTACTGTAACCTAAATTAAGAAAGAGCAGGTACAGATAACTTAGCTCTATTTGAGATGTGTACAATAATACATAAAAAAAAAAAAAAGACAGGTTGTGTGCCACACATCGGCATAAACAGACTAATATGGCAGAATTGCAGATGGGTTTCAGTGAGTGTGAGTTCTTTCTCTGTTAAAATAGTGTAAATTTGTAAAAATATTTGCAAGATTGCAAGAACTTTGTTTCATTGTAATTTCACAATTTCTACAAAATTCCTGGACAAAACTAATAGTTCACCTGAACAGTGAGTCAATTCCCGGACTGTCCAGGTGAAAACCGGACAGATGGTAACACTAAACTCAAACATGGCATGGAAATAGTATTGTGTGCTTAAAATGCATAGTGACATCTTTTATAAAAAACTAGTAGCCTGGGATGTCCCCTAGTGGGCATTATTTACAAATTTCCATGAGGCACGGTTCTTTTGACTTTTTTGTTCCTATCAATATGCTCTACAGCTCAAGTCCCAATGGTAAGATTTACCCTCCGAATGAAGAGGTGGTGACCCCCCAAACTGTAGCCCCTGTGCGAACAATAAAGTCAAAGGAACCATACCCCTACTCGCGACCCTTCGCGAGATATAAGCCCCTGAAATAATAAATTCCTATTACAAATATACTGAATTATTTATATTGTTATATTGACCAAATAATAATTTATTGGCCAAATGAATAATAATAATTCATATTGTTAATTTAAATAAGAATTAAAATTGTTAATTTGAACGTTTGAAATATGACACATGATAGGGGTGCCTCTAGTGTCCGTTATCAAACGGTTACAGGACAGACGGACACCCGTTGAATGGGTTATATATATAGATTTCTAAATACTATTAATATTAATTAATAAGACTATCATATATCATCATCATCCTTTATCAATCCACTGATGAAAGGATCTCCATGGTTTATCTAACTTCTGTGATCAGTTAACTTTCTTTTTCAAATTACTCGGTTAAAGTCCAGATACGTATACCGTCATGGCAGCTCATCTCTGATTCCAGCAAACAAAAGAAAGGAAACAGTGGGGACACACGTTCTAATCTAACCTAACCTATTCTAATAAATTACCATAATTATTACCAACCAAATTATTAGCCACCATGACGGTATACGTATCTGGACTTTAACCAATTACTCCTACCTAAAACATAAAACAGTTCACCATAATCTAGAAACCATACTACGTAACAAATCAAGATATACGCAAATGTCATCATCTACGTTAACTACGAAAACACCCGTGTCATCGAGATTTCCAGAAGCGTCGCCTTAGGGAAATACCTAAGTAAAATTCTACCATTTGAAAGTCTGCTTGCCTTGAAGAGTAGACCAGAATTGGATATCCAAAGTCGAGATAAAGATCTCAAAAAGTACATTTTATCTGGCAAAACATCTGACTTGTAAAATCTTTTAAATGCCTCTCTTTTGGGTTCTATTTCAAGGACAACTGTATTTTTGGTTATACATTCTATTTTGAATGAAATCATTTAGATTTTACATGTATCAATTATCCTTAAAAATACAGGTATATTATCCCTATTGAAAAATTATAATAACTGCTTTCAAAGATATAGATTATATTCAAAGTATATGTGTACAATATTCACTTACGCACAGTGAAGACAGTAAAATTGGGCATTTCCAACTTGATCGTGATCAATCTCCTGTTTTAACATTTTCGCGGCATTTTTCATATCGCTATGAATTTCATCCAGATCCTTCTTTCTTCTTTTTGTCTTACACTTTTTATGAAGAGCAGTATAACCTCGATTGTTCTTTTTCCTAGCGTAACGCCCCATAACCAAAGCTTTTAATCAAGTAAATTATTGTCACTAACAAACACGAAAGACCTCAACACAAGTTCAACATGCATAGTTTATTAAAGTGTTGCCAACCACCAAACGTACAAAATAATTGTATAAAAATTTAAAACGCATACATTAATTCATTATAGTCTACTATAATGAATTAATGGATTGATGAGATTTTATTTTTATTCTTTCCCCCTTTAGGTACTGTCAGGGCTTTTTATCGAGCCTTTCGTGGAAGATCATACTTCAAGGGATCATTTCTGAAGTAGACTTAACGGATTCGTGACCGAATCTGTAAGCAACACCGACCACGATGACGAGGTGTGTAGTTTCCTCCTGAGAAAGAAAGAAAGAGCCTTTCGTGGGTTCGGTCAGGCCTTCGATTGGGAGGTGGAATGTTGATGGACGAGTCCCGACTTATTCGAGATGGACAACCTCCTGAAAAATTCTTAGGTTTTTGAACAATACTGTGTAATGATTATGCTTTCTGAGGAAACGAGAAGGGATTTCACAGGTGCTTTCAAGCTGCACCTGTGAAATCCACCTACACTATTTTAAACTAATACTATAGCCTATACTATGGCCGAACCCATGACGGACTTGCTAAAAGAGGCTCTCTTAGTGCCCACAAAGCGGAAAGAGTTAAAATGGTTTAGGTCACCCATATCTTCAAGACATCGAAGTATTAACATACTTCCCTGCATATAAACATACAGACACGGTCATCTAGGCGACGGTGCCTGGTAACTGCAACCAGAGCCGTAACTAGCCATTCCTGTGCCCTGTGCAAGAATTTGCATTTAGGCCCCTTAATTTATTTGGTTTTGGGAAAATAAAACAAATACATTACAATAGATTTTTAATAAGATTTACTTTAATTGAATTTTTCTGCCTTTCATTTCAGCAAATTCATTAATTACACCATCATAATTAATATTTTTAACGATGTTGTATTCTATTGAAATAATAGAAATATTGGATAATCGTTCTTGTCCGATAGTTGATCTTAAATATTTTTTTAAAATTAAGTTTAACTTGCTAAAACTTCTCTTGCACGAAGCAATAGAAACGGGAATATTCGAAGAGCGACATTGATATTTGGGTAAGACTCAATTAAACCAAAATCACGAAGAGCCTGTAGAATATTAAGCGGAGATGCAGTTTGTATATTTTGTATAAGAGTCGTTACTTCAAAATTAAAACTTTCAATTTCACCTGTGAATTCGTACTTTTTAAAATCTTTGCTATATTTAATAGCGAGATCTGCAGCCGAATTTTTTAAATCAGCAAACTCATGCATTGTAAAGACCAGCCACAGCGAAAACAAAAATCGTCACAGATAGTTTTCATTTTTTTATAATGCCAATCTATTTGACACAATAGTGTGTCAAGAACGCTGTAAATTTGTATTTTAAATAATTTTTCAGGTGTCAAGTTACTTCCTCCATCTGGTGTTTTATCTATTTCCATTATCTTAACTCTTTTTTTTTCGTTTATTAAGAAATTCCTTTTCTATAGGCCTACTTTTTGGTTTGTTTTAAGAATATGATCAATAATAGAATCTGTTAATATTGTTGGCCATAAAGCTATATCATTTATTACTTCCATGTATCTGTACTTCTGCGTTACTTTAGTATTGTTGTTGATGTAATTTGTGTATATTAGGGTTTCTCATTTCCCGGTATTTTGCTTGTCCCGGGATCCCGGGATAAAAGTGAACTGTTTCCCGGGATCCCGGGAAATCCCGGGATAGAATTAATTATTTTTAAGGTATACAAAATATCTTGAAATCAAATGATATAATTATTTTCCATTTTTTAAAGTAATTTTAAAGTTTTGTAACCTCCAAAATCATATTAATAATGCTGTGTTAGGTCTATAGGCCTATAATAAAAATTACCTTTAAATAACGTAGAAATTTTCACAAATAGAAAAAAATTAATTAAAGTTTGCTGGAAACTGCATACAACAACAACAAAAAAAATGTTTTGAATTGAGTTAAAAATTAAAAAAATGAACTTCTAATTTAGAAGGTAATTTTCGTTTTTTAAATAAAATATAATACAAAATATTGCAAACTTTTATAAGATTTTAAAAAGCAAAGATGGTCAATACTCCGATAACTCACTCTAATTCTTATTTTAGTAATGAAAAGTCTTGCCACCGAGAATGCCCTTTCCGATTCAATTGATGTGATTGGAATAGTGTTTAATGCATTTAAGAGAAGACAGATATTATGTGTTTTTTCACCTGTAGCCTGGAAGATTTCGAGTTCGTTTTCGAGATTGTAGTACTTCTTTCGCTCTCTAGTATTCTTGATTTGTCTACCTTGGCTGCTTTAATAGCGGCATCAAGCTTAGAGCTCGATAATTCGGCAATTCATTTGGCTTTAATAATCAGGTTTATGAAGAAAAACTTCATACTTGCAGACTTTGTACTCGTTTGTATCCTTGCCCAATTTGCACAATCTGGCGTCAGGCATTTATTGAAGCTACTGGGCATGGTTAAAACTCAAGACAGCGTAAGCACAATTATTCCAGATATTACAGGTTCCGACAAGTAAAGAATTTTTATAGTCCTGCCACAAATAAGCTATATATTGATTATTGACCATTTGTGACATGCTATAACGAGCAAAAATTTAAAAAAACTAATAGGTAGGTTTAAAATTAATAAATACAAATGTATTCTGGCAGTGAATGAGTTAATTATGCTTTCTATTTGCAAAACTCCTCAACCTTAACACAAAATAAGAAAAAAAGTGAATTTTTAAGAAATTTGCGGGATTTCCCGGGATAAGAAAAATTTCCCGGGATATTTCCCGGGTTAAAAAAACAACCGGGATCCCGGGATTCCGGGATCCCGGAATCCCGTTTCAGAAACCCTAGTGTATATAGATTACCACGTGTCGGGACCTACTTTTTGTATCATTGTCCGCGGAAGACTATGTTGTACCACTTTGATTGCTACGCCAACTAGTGTACACTAATTGGTCAAGAACGGTGTCACGTGAGGAAGGAGTATAAATGGGACCGTCTCATGTGTGGAGGAACTTTCTCCGACCTTTTGCCCCTTGGATATACCATCACGTCTCGTCTCGCCACACAGAAACCCTATTGGCTAGACTTCGAACAGATACGACCCCCCTGAACAACTTCCTCTATTCTCGACGCCAATGCGCCTCGCCAGATTGCCCCCAGATTGTGGCTCGCCAGAAACTTCCGTACGCTATTGGTTTGTCTGCCCGCAATACACACTAGCCCGCCAAGAGCTAGGCCGTCTTTTAACCTTGGACCTCACGATCGTCCGTACCTTAACTCCGATATACTGGCCTCATACCGACCTTTCTCCTCGCCAACATATCGAAATCTTGGAGCGTTTTGTTCACCGCACCAACCGCTTTACCTAATTTCAAAGCGGAGTGATTCGGAGAAAAAGCCAATAGGCTAGAGTCTCCATATTAATAAGAAAGAAGTGGAAGAACTTTTTTTGGTTTTGCTTCAGAGTCCGACGATCGGAGTGAACAGAGGAACAAAGGAAGGTTGTGGCAGCACGTGTTTATCATCGTGTAATTCATTGTATGTAGATCTAATTCGGATTAGTTAGTAATGTAATAATAAGTTTAGGATTTACTATTTGTTATTGAAACCATCATTTTATTTTAAATAGAATTGTAAAGTCCTTATTTCGATTAACATACACCCAGACTCAATATATTTCGATATATTAGAGATCAAAACATATCTATATACGAGTATCGGACTTTAATTTTTTCCGCGTAAACCAATAATGCGCGGAAGGCATCTTTCGGTGGAGTTGTGGAGGGGACAGTCATGCACAGCCCTGAATTTTTTCCCGCCTGCAGGAAGCGTCAGTCGTTGGCAATCGGCCTATGAGTGACTCCTTTGGTGGAGTTGTGGAGGGGACAGTCATGCACAGCCCTGAATTTTTTCCCGCCTGCAGGAAGCGTCAGTCGTTGGCAGTCGGCCTATGACTGAGGACATGTAGTGAGCTCTCGTCGGATTCCACTAAGTTGGAAAATGACTGAACAATGTGAGCAGCGATATTACATCAAATTTTGCCAAAAACCTTGGCGATACCCAAGCGTAAACCATTCACAAGATTCAGCAGGCTTTCGGGGACGATCCTCGAGGCCAAAAAAAAGCGCGGCAGGTCCGCAGCAATATCAAGGTCATGCTGACAGTTTTTCGACTCTCGTGGGGTGGTGTATCATGAGTACGCACCACAAGGTCAAACCATCGCAAAGGAGTACTACCAGAAGGTCCTTCGTCGTTTCCTTATTACTGTATTCAATTGAAAGAAACAAGTAGTACTTTGTCATTTTCAGACGAACAACCCAGAACTCACCACGAGGAGGTGGCTGCTTCAGAGTTCTACCAAGAGTTGGGAAGAATGCAATTTAATGTCACTGCTGGATAAAATACAGAGCTTCGTAATTGGCATTTAATCAGCCATTTAATCCCATAGCCCAATTTCCAGTCATTTCTTTCCCTTCGCATTTGTTTGCAAAGAACATAACAAAAGTAAATTGATTATTGATGTATTAAGATATATTTAGAGAATTAGTAAGGTAAAGTAAACTTTACCTTACAGGTTTACAGTAAACAGGTTTAGTAAACTTGAAGAAATTAAAATTAGTTATTCTGCTGTTTTTGCTTGGTTATTACGTTATCGAGCGCCGTAACCCCGGTTGGACTTACGAATAACCATGTATATATGACTAAAATACAACGTAATGTGTCTTTTTAAACTCCACATCATCGCATTCACAGTCAATCTAATATATAATCGAGACGGGTTGATAATGATAATAATAATAAGCGCAGAGCCCAAACGGTTAGGAGTTGAAAGTTGAAATTTGGTACAGTTAGGGTACGTCACGAGAACGCACACTAAGAAGGGATTTTTCGAAATTCCCCCCGAGGGGAGAAAGACAGGATTAAGGCTTAACACTTCCATCAACAATGGAAGTGTTAAGTAACAATGGAATTGCTAAGAGAAAGCGACGTGCAAGATTTACAGGCGCAGATGCAGTTTTTTCGTTTTTGCGGGAAATCGAACATATTTTTAGAACCATCTAAAAATTCTCTAATTAGTCTGGAAATAAGGGGACCCAATTCTTGCATTCTGTGAAAACGGGTAAGGTTGACTGTAACGTAATAATCTTTATCTTAGTTATCGTTACTTTTGCCCGAGCAACGCCGGGCCCACCTGCTAGTATCTAATAATACCGTTTGAGTTTTTGCCGTCGTCCATTTATTCTATTTGTCAATCTCTAACCCATTTTCTGCTGTAAATNAATAATAATAATAAGTTTCAATAAAAATGATGAAATGTAAATTAAATTTTATCATAACGAGTTTGCTTGAATTTCGTTTCTTCTGA